TAAAACACAAAAGCCCTTAACCATCCCAGAAATTTGCAACCTCCATCCCCCTTTAATAAAAGAAGTCCATACAAAGGGAGACTCAGAGCTACCTTCACCATACATTAGCACAGAGACAATCCGAGAGGAAACAAGTATCCAGCACCCAGCCAACCAGGGATGCATGAAAATTGCCATTAGCCATCGCAGCAGAAATAGCCATGTGGCACAACGAGAATGGTGGTGGTGGGTACTGAACTGCATAAATCCCCATAGCTTTCTAGTTGTGCCCCTCTAAAACAGCTATATCATCACCCCACACTCATACATTGGGACAGACATGATGCCTATGGAAACAGTTAACTCTACACCCTATGTTGCATCCAGAATATCTGTCACAAATCACAGTGTTGTAGCTGTATTGGTCTCAGGATATTAGAGAGACAAGGTGGGTGAAGTAAAGAGAGACAAGCTTTCAAGCTTATACAGTGCTCTTCTTCAGGTCTGGAAAATGTACTCAGAGTGTCACAGCTGGATTTATGGCTTATTACAACAATCTATAACCCTCTTAGCCGCCCCTTTTGTCCCCCAGTTTTATTTTTTGCCCCTATGACTGGAGAGGTGTTAATTGGCCACTGCACCTTGAATGGTCCCTTGAAATGTGTGTTAACTACTTATGCTAAACAATCTGTTCCACCTTGTATTTAACTGTGACCCTCTGAGTTCATTGCCCAGATCTGAAGAAGAGCTCTGTGTAAGCTTGAAAGCTTGTCTCTCTCACTAACCGAGGTTGGTCCAATAAAAGATATTACCTCACCCAGTCACAGACATTTCAACTGAGCTCTAGGTTATTCATTGCACACACCCACTGCAAGCATGGGCCCATGCATGCTAGATCAGGGTAGATCCCTGCTTAGCAGACCTTTGTCATGCCCTTACTAACACCCCCTCCACTGCCCCATGAATTGGCAGGAGTTATGTCTGCATAAATCCCTGTTATATTTTAGTTCTAAGACTGAAATAACTGCTCACATTCCTTTTCTGTAGAATTTGGAGTAGCTGCCCATCAGGCTAGCCGTATACTTTCTTGTCTGACCCAGACCTTCTCATCCTTTGTCAGAGAAACATACCACACTGTGTACAGGGTCTGCATAGTTAATTCTGCAACTCAGTGAGAAAAATGAACATGAAGTTACTACAATTTGTTCAGAAACATGCCGGAGTCAGTGAGTATATGCACTGCCTCAGGCATGCAGGCACTTTACTCACTGAATTGGACCTGTAGTCACTTTTCTGACCATCAGCCCACTGTAATGCTGCCCAGGACAGAGTGTCCAAAGCAGCATGCACTAGTTTCCCGTTCTGAACCTTTCGTAAGAGAGAGAGAAGCATTCCTTTCTTTTTCTGCACAAAGTACACTGTCTCGCAACATTTCACAAGCTCAAGGTAACAATTATTTAATGCCAACATCTCATCTCTCAACAAAAGACTCTATATGTCAATACCGTACAGCTGTTGTCTAATTTGTGTGGAATATCTCTAACATGCTCATACTACATTAATGAACTTTTTACAAGTATTCTGACATACCTGATCTGCAGGAACTTACAGTATCTGCACAAGAACTAGAAGAACCATTCAGTACCAGTATAATCTCAGTTCAACCCTTTACAGATAATACAATTTTTACAATATGTTAAGCAAAAATCAGAAACAAAATATTGCCATATTTGTAAATATCAATTAATGGTCCCAACAAACAAAATAATAAAACAACATTGGTTTTCACTTAAATGCATACAAGCACGAGAATCTTCAGATTAAAACTACCACAGAATGCTTAGCTCAGTCCTGCTGTGCTAACTTTTTCAGCAAACATAGCCGGCAATATATGGCAATGCACCTCACAATATATTACACACACTGGATTCAATATAGAAGATGTGTTTATGTGTGTGTGTGGTTACATTTATTTTATATATTATACACACTTGTGTTATACCTATTACATATTAAACCTTTTGTACCTACAAGCAAATGTGGCTCAAGGGGTGTGCACTCAGTCTGGTGTTCAGCCAAGTGATTGTCTGTTGTCAAATATGCATGTACAGAATACAGAAATTTACATCAAACCACATTTACCAGGCCCTTTATATACGGACAATAGGACAACAAACTGAAATAGTGATTCATGTTAACTTAGGAACCTCACAAAATTAAGTTAATGTGACATGCTATGACATCTTATGTTTGCACATGGATCTCCAACGTTTACTGATTTCATCCCTATACATGTGTGTAATGAAAAAAAAAAGACTGTTAATTCTGTGCTACATAACTATGCAGCAGATTACAGAGGGAAAACTAAACATTTTCCTGATTAAAAAAAAAAAAAAAAAGAGTCCTTATGGATTTGGCCTTCAAAAACTATTACTGGTCTTCGTGCTGTGATGTGATACCATGCTAATGTAGGTCAGAACCTTCTTGACAAGAGTCACAATATAATTTTATGGATTTACAGCATTTAGAATGAAGGCATGATTCAAGAGGTATTATCCTGAAGAAATCACACAAAAGATGGATGGGGGAGGGAGGAGGAGAAATGGCATTAATGCCCCCAGGCTCCTGGGATTCTTTATACTTATATCTGGGGATGAATATGGTATAAGGTGATTCCCAAGGCCTCTTTCTAGGATCAGGTATGTAATTCTTAATCATACACCTGCTAAAGTGTTGCTAATTACTTGTATCCTTGTGAAAGACCCAGTAATGTAGACCAGGACTAGCAAGGTACAACTAAGCAATGATGGAAAACAATTTTTCTGGTTTTACAGCTACTGACAAATCACAGAATTGGAAAACTCATCAGCATCTAAGAACTGGATCAAACCCTAGGCAACCCTCCACATACTTCATACAACTCCACACCAGCCAGAGCTTATATCTTTTTTGTTTAGCTTTTCTTTCTTAAACACAAGAAGTGACCAGATTCAGAATAACTTCCAAACTCATGACCACATCTTCAGTACAAGTTATTTAGTGTTCAGTAGCTTCTTTTTCATTAAGTACAAATATTTTGGAGTCCATTTTCCCTTCTCTATTTATATTTATTAATAAACTAATGATGCACTTACTAGAAATAACAAGCAGAGAAAGGCATCTAAGACATGACCTGCACCCGGGGCAATTACAAAAAGGGTAATGCCCACACAATATACTACTTATAGACACCCTCTATAGGGAATCAAGAGTATGCCTGTTGTATTGAGGGCAGTGAACTGCCATATATACTAGTATTGGAATCCACAGTCCACCTGTTATTTGCATGGTGGGTGCTATGCTGCCATGTCTTACCTCCAGAACCCCAGTGCACGTTTATTACACTGAAAGGAGAGGATGGACTGACACGTAACCTGCTTTAGGAACTCTTCAGCATACCAGTTTTATATATTTATCCTCGGGACAGGAAAGAAAGACAGATCACAATGCACCTTGCTATAGGAACTCCACAGAAATCCCAATATGTAGGGAGGGCAGTACTTTGCCATGCACCATGCCATTGGGTGCCCACAGCCTGTTCCATCGGGATGGATGGATGTTTGAAGGATGACCTGCCCTGCTCCAGCACATAGCAACTTTACACTCTGTAAAATGAAGGGGGTTGGGAAAGAGAAACATTCTGCTCTAAAGCCTGCTTTACGGGGGGGTGAAGAGGGGCAGAATTCTCTGCCATAGAAGATCATATAGGATCATAAGATCATACCCTGCCATGAGGATTCCACAGACCATTACATGTGAAATGCCCTGCTCCCTGTCATAGGGACTTCACAGCCCTGGTCTATGGGAGATGCCCTGCTCCCAGCCACACAGCCCTTTTATATGGGGGATGCCCAGCTCCATACCATAGGAACTTCACAGGCCTGGTCTATGGGGGATGCCCTGCTTCCAGCCATACAGCCCCAATCAGCCCTGTTATACGGGGAATGACCTGCTCCCTGTCACAGGGACCCGCACAGCCCTGTTATATGGGGGATGCCCTGCTCCCAACCATACAGCCCAATCAGCCCTGTTATATGGGGAATGCCCTACTCCATGTTATACAGACCTGTTATATGAGGGATGCCTTGCTTCCTTCCATACAGACCCGCACAGCTCTGTTATATCGGGAATGTCCAACTCCCAGCCATACAAACCTGCTATACAGACCAGTTATATGGGGGATACCCTGCTCCCTTCGATACAGACCCACACAGCCCCATTATATGGGGGATGCCCTGCTCTCTCCACAGGGACCTGTTATATGGGGGATGCCCTACTCCCTGCCATACAGACCCGCACAGCCCCTTTATGTGAGGGGCTACCTGTCACAGGGACCCGCACAGTCCTGTTATATGGGGGATGCCCTGCTCTCTCCACAGGGACCCACACAGTCCCTTTAAATGGGGGATGCCTTGCTCCCTGCCATACAAACCCACACAGTCCTGTTACATGAGGGATGCCCTGCTCTGTCCAAAGGGACCCGCACAGCCCCATTATATGGGGGATGCCCTGCTCCCTGCCATACAGACCCGTTATGCCCTGCTCCCTGCCACAGAGACCCGCACAGCCCCGTTAAATGCGGGATGCTCTGCTCTCTGCCATACTGACCCACGCAGCCCGCGATGTGGGTGATGCCCTGCTCTGGTAGAGGCCGGAGGTGGTTTGCAGGGCTATGTGGTATATTACGGAGAGGGGTCCCCAGCGCCTCCCACTGCGGGTGGGACTGGGCACGTGTGCAAACGCTGCCCTGCGGGAGTGCTGGGGGAGGGGGAGGCGGTGCCGGGAGACACATACCTGATGCCCGGAATCCTGACATCCCGCTCCGCTCTGCAGCAGCAGCTCCCGGGATCAGGCTGGCGCGCGCTCTCCAGCGATCGGGGTTCCAACGCGCGCGCACTCTACCTCGCTGTGGCGCGTGCACGTGCCCTGTCCTAGTCCTAGCTCGCTCTCTGGCGCGCTCCCTTTCTTATGGGTCGCCTAGGAAACAACCGGCTGTGGCAGCTCAGTTCGGCTCGGGGCGCACGCTCAGCGTCACGTGGGGCATGGAGGCCCAATGGAGACGACGGACTGCGTAAGGCTCGTAGTACTACGGTAGGGGGTAAGGGAGGGAGGGAGGAAGGAAGGAGCCCCTGTCTCGGGAGGGGGACCCTTGAGGAAAGGCCTCACCACCCAAGGATGGGGCAAGGGAGGGGCCCCTGAGGAGAGCGGGCTCCTGAAGTATGACTCCACCCTCTCGTGAGGGCTAGGAGTGGCTCCTGAGAGACGCTCTCTTCGCCTTAGGGGGGAGGGGAGGAGCTACTGCGGAGAGGAACCCCCCTCCCCGCCCTAGATTGGGGGAGAGAAGGAACGGTTGAGGAGAGACCCCCCCACCGCCCTAGATTCGGGGAGGGGACGAGCTATTAAGACCTCCTCCTCCTACATTGGGGAGGGGAGGGAAGGGAAGAGCTATTAAGGAGAGACCCCCCTCTTGCCCTACATTGGTGGAGGGGAGGAGCTATTGAGGTGGGAACCCCAACCTAGAGTGGGGGAGGGGAGTCACTCATGAGGAGCATCCTGTCCCTAAAACGGGGCCCTGCGCTGAGGTGTTGCTCTGGAGTGGGGGCAGGAAGGACAGGTGTGTACTAACCTGGCAACTGAGCCTGGGATTTGTTGCTCCCAAGGAGGTTGGCTGTTAGTGCACAGTAAGGTGCAAAGTTGCCTTATTTGGTCCTCCCCACATGAGGATGGAGGCACCTCTGTGGCTTCCTGGTGCTATTTGCTACCACATCTTTAATATGAAGGGGAAGATGTGAGACATCACCATCCTGAATTTGCCCCAAGCAGCATCACAGCAAAATACCAAAGTCCTCACCACGTCATGGTCTTTCTCAAGTCCCGTATTTCAAGAATAGGGATGTAAGATTGTACTCAAGGGAAAAATCAGGACCATTTGGCAAATTCTGGAATTACAGGAAACCTGCGTCCAATTCCCAGGGATAAAGAGTTCATTGTATTCCAGTTTAATCCAAAATCCATCATGGTCAGGATGGCATGTTGCCACTAAAACCTCTTGTCCCCTGGGGCTGTAATGCTTGGATTAATCATGTTCTTCTGGGGGGTCATCTTTTCTATGCACTTGTACCAAGATAGAGCATTGCATGTTGGTATTTGTCTTTTCAGCAGGCTATGTCATTCAAGTCAGTATAGTGTTTTGGATCTTGGGAGCCATCACCTCTGCAGACTGAGCTGGTTGATTATGAAGACAAATGTTTTCATGCTGGACCCCATAATTTTCACAGGCTGCATTTCTAGAATAAAAATGGATGCTAGAATCATTGCATGTTAGGACTTGTAGTATATAGGAATTGTACCTTCATACTAAAGATGAAGATTGCAACAATCTACACTGTCTATGCAAATTAAATGTAGCCCTGGGGCTCCTGGCATGTTGCTAATGTAGTCCTCAATTGAGTATTGTTTGGGCCCTGCTAGTGTAGTGCCAAGACTCCCCTAATTTTGCTTCTACGATAAAGGTTTCTTTCCCCCTCCCCCCCACACTTACTAAAGTTTTGCTTGCTTTTACATACACCAGGACAATTACATAATCACAAAGAGAGTGAGCAGCTGCAAGATTACATGAGGCAGACTAGAGATTACATTGATTCAGCAGATTGTCCTATCTGAGAAAGATTACATCAGTAGAGTAAATAATACCCATTTATTGGAGTAAGTGCCAGTCAAGTAGAACAAATTAATAGAAAATTAAATGCAAAAAATAAACATCAAAATAAGGTTAAGAGCCTGTTTTAAACTGACAGAATTCAGGGAATTAAGACTAAAAGCCAGTTTTTAGCACTTCCCTCCCACAAGCCTAGCTATTATAGAGGTTTCTAGACAATTATTTTGTGTTTGGATTGTGCTTAGTTTATAAAAACTAGTTACTTGAAGCACCCAGTGACCACATTTTAAAATTAAAGTTTTACAACATATTTTTCAGTATCTCAAAAGTGATATGGACCTATTATTTTATGAAATAACCACTGGCCAAATTGGTTATTAATATACCAATTTCTAATAAGAATGGTCTTGAGATGTGATGTTTGGATCTGAACCTCAACTTTACCAAAAATTTGAAGGAGAGGTAGAACTGGGATTCTGGTAGGGGAATATCTATAACTCAGAGTTATGAATATAAAAAGTAATCCCACATTGGGAACCTTAAAATTTTATTACACTTAAACTGATTTTTAAAAATACACATTTAAACACAAGTGTGTTTGGGGATGAGGCTGTATGAGAGTGAGTCTGGGATTATTGTAGAGAAGAAATTAAATGTATGAGCACACAGTGTGACTTGTGGGGGTTTTGGGGTGTGTATTTATACCAGTTTTTATCTAAAAATGATTAACTAATAATTCCCCTTGCATAGGCCCAGGACTTGAATCTGATTGTGAAGCGCTACATGAAATACCAGAAATTACATATCCCTGTATGTACCTGACAGATTTGCATCAGCCTCACCTCACAAGTGTAGCTGTGCTGAGTACCAGAATCTTCAGACAGATAAATCAGGAAAACTTTAATACCTATTAGACCTGTGCTTGAAGCTTCATTACCCACCAGCTGCTCATATATCCATGTATGAAATTGGTCTATGTGGGGCAAACTTTATGAGCACAATATAGTCCATGTACTTAGAGGAGTAAACAATGTTTGTACATGGGCCTCTTCACGATACAGTTAAATGGGAACTCCCTGCCTACTGTACATGTGATTTTATACATCTGCCAGCTAACTCAAAGATTAAAATACAAAATCAAGTATTTAAATAATGGGACAAATTCTGTTCTCGTTTACACTTGTGCAACCCTTCTGAGCTCAGAGGGGTTGCACAAGTGTAATTTAGGGCAGAATTTAGTCCTGTATGTGTGCATTTGATACTTTGAGGGAACACAAGTTCATTACTTACCCATTGTAATTTTTCACTGGTGACAGATAGAATGCATAATATTCCTAGGCAGTCCTCTTGTATTTTGTGGGGTTTTAATTTATGGTAGATGTGCAAAGTATAGGAAGGGTGCCTATAAATATTTTTATAAAATTGAAGGAAATTTTAATAAAATTGAGTAATCTCAGTATAAGTTAATGCAAAGTATTAATATGTTAGACATTCTTCTTTTTGTTTAATTGTTTTAAGATATGGTGTGAGAAACAGAAGTGGAAATTACTCATGTATAATATGACTGAAGACTTTACCATGCCTATCATTTAATGAAAGGCATGGCAAATTAAAAAAACAACAATAAAACTTAGAACTTTGGCTGTAGTGGGTCACAATTGAGAAGCTTGCTCGTGATTTGTCTTTCATTTAATTGGAAGGCACGTCACAAAATTCTACAGTCTTGCAAATATCCATTAGTCAGATAAATACACAGTTCAGCAATGTTTACTTGCATTATTTAAAGGACATCCAAAACATTTAGGGTTTTAGATAAATGAAGAGTGCTCCATTATGTTGGGTGATGTTACAGCTTGTCCTTTGGTGAGCTAGGGTATACCTATACAAGGTGTATGGTGCTGAGCTATATGTAATTAGCCATTACATAGGATTAACTAGGATGAAAAAAAGAGGGACAAATATCTGACACTGTACAACTGGGAATTCTGAATATACGAATGAACAGTTGGATGAAAACTCTTAATAAAATTTTAGGAGTGGAAGATTTCCCTTAAATTTGCTATAAAGTCACAAATTTGATCTGTGACCGCCATGTCATGATAAATGTTGGTATTATTAGTATAGCCTTTAATTAAACGGATGATGATGATGATGATGATAAATAGTAATACTATCATTTCTGTAGAGCCTAAAGATCTCTGTAAGCAGGTCAGGTTCATAGCCTATTTTGAATGACGTGTACACACTATATATATAGTCCAAATTTACTATTTTTCTGGGGTTTGGCTGTATTGGCAACTTATATGACAAGTATAATTACATAACAGAAATCTCTGGCTAAGTTTTCTCCCCAAGCTTTGCTGTCCCTTGGGTTTCCTTGCAGGATTTCCTGTGCGCCAGACCCTTCTCTATATTCCAGAGAAAACACCTCATATCTTAGTGGCAGCTAACCAAATCCAAATGCCAGAGTGATACAGCAACAATTAATCTGCATTTTTATGCAGGCTTTTAGCACTGGCGCTTACTGTTGCTCAACTGATAAACCCTGCATGCCTGTGCAGGGTCTAAGAAACTGTCATTATGTTACAATCTGAATGGCCTCCTACCACCCAGTCTCTAATGCATCAGAGAACAGGAAATATGACAAACTTTACAAGCCAGAATCCCACCCAGGTTCTTTGGTTATGTTGACAGTATCAAAGAAAATGAATTTTGGAAGAGGGCATTCTCTTTTCTGGTCCTTATTTTAATAACTACTAATTACAAGCAGTTATGGTTTGTTATACCCTTTGAACGACAATATCCCCATTTCTGGAAAATATCCCTGAGAGTAAGGCCTTGTCTATACTATCACAGTAAGTCGACCTAAGTTACACTACTCCAGTTACATGAATAATGTAACTGGAGTCCCCATAGCTTAGGTAAATTTACTGTGATGTCTACACCATGTTGCGTCGATTGGAGACGCTTTCCCGTTGACTTCCCTTACTCTTCTCGGAGTGGTGGATTACTGGAGTCAACCGGAGAGTGCTCTCCCATCGATTTTGCATGTCTTCACTAGACCCACTAAATTGACATCCGCTGCATCGATTGCAACAGCGCTGAGCTACTGGTAAATGTAGACAAGCCCTAAGTAGTAAGACGTTCTTGAAATTTAAGAAGATTAGTAGTTTGGAAGATACCTTTTGTGAGCCTTTCATGACATTTCAGGCTTGATGACTAGGTCCTTGGTAAGGACCATCATTGTTTGCTGGTGCTCTTGGCTATAATATTCAGTTACCAGATTTACAGCTATGACACTGATATTGAGTCAGTCTTTGTATAAGTAGCTCTCTTGCTGATATCCAAGGCCAGTCCTTCCACTGTTTCTTCAAGGAGTTTCCACGTCAATTACAGTTTGGACCCAATCATTC